CTTCCTCCATGGAATTGACCAACCATGTCATAACCATGGAGTTTTCAGCGTCCCAACTGTCGAATAGCGGATCATTAATAGCAGGAGCCTTCTTGTCACCAGTGATGTAACTGATCTTTCCTTGCCCACGGATATACATCCGGACAGATTGTGACCAGTGGAGAAAATTATCACCATTTAGGCGGATGGTGGTGATTTGGACAGAGTGAGAGTTGGACGTTTTCACCGGAATGGCAGCGGCAGGGGTTGAAGTGGTTTCGGACGTGACTTCCGACATGGCTATGACGGTTTTAGGACTGCTGTGTTTTTTGTTGCTTTGATACCAACTTAGAAAATATGAGGAAGAAGAACTCCGAAAATATGAGGAAGAAGAGAAACAAGAAAGATTAGAACCAAGAGCCAGGCCAGAAGTCAAGTATAAAAGAGAGAGTTGGGGTGCAAAATAGAGGGATATGATAATTTTAGAAAATTCAAGATTAGGGAATGATTAGGATATCATCCCCTATTTATATTAATGAAGATTAATAATTATAAGGGAGTCCTAAGGCATAGAATAATTATAAAATAATAACCCAAATAATAATATATTATGCTAGTACTCCCCCTCAAGCTGGTGCGAAGATATCTCTCATGCCCAGCTTGCCTAAGATGTCATGAAATAGTTTATTCCCAACTCCCTTGGTAAGGATGTTAGCAAGTTGTTCACCAGACTGCACAAAGGGAGTACATATGGTGCTACTAGTGAGTTTCTCCTTAATGAAGTGGCAATCAATCTCAACATGCTTCGTCATGTCATGTTGAACCGGATTATGAGTGATGTTGATAGCGGCCTTATTATCACAGCATAACCACATGGAGTCTGTTTGATCAATACCTAGATCACTCAACAATAACTTGATCCATAAGCGTAGCTCTAAACTTAGCTTCTATACTTGACCTGGCAACTACATTCTGTTTCTTACTCTTCGAAGTAACTAGGTTGCCTCCAACAAAAGTGCAATACCCTGAAGTCGATCTCCTATTAGTTACTAATCCAACCCAGTCTGCATCTATTTAGACTTCCACACGAAGATAATCATACTTTGAAAAATAAAGACCCTTATCAGGAACAAATTTTAAGTACTTCAAAATTCTCGTGGCAGCTTCGAAATGAATCTGATGAGGAGCATACATAAACTGGCTAACCACACTGATAGCAACAACAATATTAGGACGGGAGTGAGATAGGTAAATGAGCTTACCCACTAATCACTGATAGTTCTCCCTATCAACAGCTTCTCCTCCTTCATCATCCCTTAATTTCTGATTAGGTTCCAATGGAGTGTCACAGGCCTTGCAGCCAAGCATCCCAGTTTCCTTTAACAGGTCAAGCACATACTTTCTCTGTGAAATAAATATCTCATCCTTGGAGCGAGCAACTTCAATTCCCAGAAAATACTTCAAGCTTCCCAAGTCTTTGATTTCAAACTCACAGGCTAAATATTTCTTCAATAGAGGTATTTCCTCACTATCATTGTCCGAAAGAACTATGTCATCTATATAAATAATAAGTGTTGTAGTCTTACCACGTGAGGAATGTTTCACAAACAAGGTGTGATCTGCCTGACTCTGTTTGAAGCCATATTTAAGCATAGCCTAAGTGAATCTCTCAAACCAAGTCCTTGGAGACTGTTTAAGACCATATAATGACTTCCGAAGCCTAAATACTTTGCCTTCTGTCTGATGATCCTCAAAACCAGGAGGAATGTCTATATATACCTCTTCTTCGAGGTCACCATGGAGAAAGGCATTATTTATATCAAACTGATGAAATGGCCAATCTAGATTAGCTGCTAGAGAGAAATACTCTGACTGAATTTATCTTAGCCACAGGTGCAAATGTCTCCTAATAGTCAACGTCATATGTCTGAGTGGACCCTTTTGCCACAAGTCTAGCCATGTAATACTCAATAGAACCATCCGCTTTGTGTTTCACAATATACACCCATTTGCATCCCACAAGTCGTTTGCCCGTAGGTAACTCAGTCAATTCTCAAGTGTCATTCTTCCTAAGTGCTTTCATTTCCTCAATCATGGCAAGTTTCCACTCAGAGGTAGCAAGAGCATCCTAAAAATAATTAGGAATGCTAACAGAGAAAATATTTGACACAAATGCTCTATATGAGGATGACAAATAAGAGTAAAACACATAACTAGAAATAGGATTTTGAGTACAAGATCTCATTCCCTTTCTCTTAGCAATAGGAACATCAAGATCAATGGACTCAAGAGATTCAAAGTTACCTAGATTCTCACCAGAAGCAAGAGATGGCAGTGGAGGAGCAAAAGTGGTCTCTTGTATCCAGTTAACTTTCTGTCTGTCTTTGTCCCTGACATACACTTGTCCTTTTCTATCCTTGGTGATATTGGGTTATGTAGTCCCAGTAAGAGGTGGTGGTGCAAGAACAACTGGTTCCACAATAGGAATCACAGGAATCACTTCACACCAAGGCTCTCCCTAGAGAGAGAAGTATGACACCAGAGAGGACAAGAAATAGGACTGAGACTCAAAGAAAGTGACATCCATGAACACAAACCACTTACGAGAAGGAGAGTGGTAACACTTATACCCTTTTTTAGTAGGAGAGAAACCAAGAAAAACACATTTGAGGGAGTGAGGATCCAACTTACCACGAGTAGGAGAGTGATTATGAACAAAACAGACACAGCCAAATATTTTAGGAGAAATAGAAAACAAAGACTGAGAACCTAGGAGGACTTGAAGAGGAGCTTGTTTTCGCAAGACCTGGGTAGGAAGACGATTAATAAGATAGGCAGTAGTGAGAACAGCGTCGCCCTAGTAGGACTGAGGCACACTCATAGAAAAACACATGCACCGAGCCATGTCAAGAAGATGGCGATTCTAGAGTTCCACCACCCCATTTTGTTGAGGGGTATTGGTGCAAGAGGTCTGAGGGATAATGTTATGAGTAGAAAAATATTGCCCTAACTTAGAATCTATGTATTCACCCCCATTATCAGAATGAAATATTTTCACAGTGGCCCCAAACTGAGTACAAATCATCTTATGAAAATTGCAAAACACAGAGAAAATCTCACTCTTGTCTTTCATGAGATACACCCAAATAGTACGAGAAAAATCATCAATAAATGTAACAAACCATCAATGACCTTTCACAGACATAACACGAGAGAGACTCCAAATATCAAAATGTATTAATAAAAAAAGAACTAAACTTTTATTAAAACTGGGAGCAAAAGAAGCTCTATGTTGTTTTCCAAGTTGACAAGACTCACAAAGAAACTCAGACACATTATTGTTTGCGAAACCAGATGAAAATAAATGCTTAAGTAAATAAAAAAAAGGATGCCCAAGACGCTGATGCCACAGCCATAAATCATCTTGGGTAGTAGGACTCGTGGTGGAAGAATAAGCAAACTTGTCCGGTTGATCCAGGAAGTAGAGACATTTGCTACACTACCACTGCCAATCATCCTCCTCGTGACAAGGTCCTGAAAAAGATAATGATCAAGAAAAAAAAAACGTCACACTACAATTCAAATCCTAGGTAATACAACTAAAAGATAACAGGTTAACAAAAAAATTGAGAACATAGAGCACAAAAGATAAAGGTATAATAGGAGTGACATGGACTAAACTTTTCCCAGAAATGGAAGAAACAGTACCATCTGCAATCTTAACTTTGTCCTAACCAAAAGAGGGCTTATAGGCAGAGAAAAAGTCAGAGGATCCCGATATATGATCTGAGGCACCAGAATCAATAATCTAGGGCAAAGACTTGTGAGACAAGAAAACACGAAGAGAAGAGGCTAAGTTACCTGAGCGGTCAAACAACAAGGAAGATGTACTGAGAGCAGTAAAAGACCGACGGTCTAGCAAGTGACGCAGAACATCCTCAAGCTCAGGAGTAGTCATGCCACAGAGACCATCAGAAGCCTGGCCAACGAAAGTGGAAGTAACATCAAGTGTATCAATGGCACTAGACTGATGAGCTCATGGATGGGAGCCACGTCCTCTAGACTAGCCTAACCAACCTCCTCTAAGACCAGACCAATCACCTTGACTCCCAGATGGAAGCCTATGAAGCTTCCAACACGCCTCACGAGTATGCCGTGGCTTTTTACAGTAATCATAGAATGCAGACTCCTTGGTGGCAGACGGAGAAATGAGAATCAAGTTGAGGCCATCTCGAAGGGTAGACAGTAAGGCTGAGCGGTCAGTAGAGACAGGGGACATCAAAGCAGACCGACAACTCTCCTCATTCTGTACATGGGCAAATGCCTCCTAAAGTGAAGGAAGAGTATCCATACCCCGAACTCGACTCCTAACCGAATCATACTCCACATCACCAGAAACTTGAAGACCCGTTCCTGTGCGATGAACTTTCTGCACCAGACTGAATCAGCTGTGCAAACAGGCTTATAGTCCTGCAGGTGCTCAAGGCATTTCTAGCCGTTGGTGAGGAAGGTGAAGTACTGAAGAATAGTCTGCTCCCCCTGAACAGAGCTCTTAATAAAGCGGCGCAACTCAAATGCCTGTGAGAAATTCCCTTTGCGGGAATAGGTGGCAGCCACAGCATCCCAAACATCCTGGACAATCTCCATAAACAAGTAGCCCTCACCAATTTCTGGAACCATCAAATGAATAAGCCAACCCATATTGGTAATCTCCCATTGGTTATAACCCAGGTCAGTGGTACTGGGTGCCTGTATCCTGCCATCTACATACCCCATCTTCCCTCTGCTCTTCAAAAACATAGTCAAACTCTACAACCATGCGAGATAGTTCTGACCATTAAATAGAGAGGTAGTGATTTTAAGACTAGGGTTAGGGTTATCAGTCATAGCAGTAGGTATAGGAAAACTCTCACTCCTAGGTGTCTGAGAAGTAGTGGACACACTGGTGCAATCTGCCATAGATACTGTACTACCGAATCCTCAACAAAACTAGTGCCAATCACAAACCCGGAAGGTGGAGGAATACAAATACATTGACCACTAAGAAAATTAAAGACTTAAAAATTCATCAACTTTTTTTTTTCTTTACTGCATTTAAAAAAAATAAAAAATAAAAAAAACAGAGAATAAACAGAGAAGAAAGAGTGGATAACAAAAAACGACAAAGCAAGAACAAACGACGAAGCAAGCTAGGCACTATATCAGCATAACGAAGAAGCAATACACCATCAGAGGTTGTCAACTAGGTCTGTCGAGGCTATCAGAGGAGTCGGCTAGGCTGGGACAGCCAGCATGAAAGGGCCACGAGGCCTGGAAGCCTATCGAAGAAGACTAACAAGGCTGGGTAGCCTGCGATAGTGAGCAACGAGGCTAGGGCTGCCTCCAGCAGGCTTCAACAGTGACCGACTGGGCCAAGAAGCAATTCGGCAGTAGCTGACAGGGCTAGGGAAAGGAGTTACACATAGCAAAACTAAATAAGTAGTTGTGTGGTGGCTGTGTAGTGGGGTTGGGGTGGCTGACGAGTGTGGTGGAGGGATTTAGGGTTGTGGCTCTGATACCATGATAATTTTAGAGAATTCCAAATTTGGGAATGATGAGGATATCATCCCCTATTTATATTAATGAAAATTAATAATTACAAGAAAACCCTAAGGCATAGAATAATTACATAATAATAACCCAAATAATAATATATTATACTAACAGGATAATCAACCATCAAACACACTCGTGCAGAATTATTTAAGAGTAGTTCTAAATTAGCCATTTTAGGAGTAGATTAAACTAGTAGCTTTTTTCAATGCCCACTTCTCTTCTTTCTATCGATTGCTATATTTCTTCAATTTTTTTGTTCTTGTTTAAGTTCTTGTAACTAGTAACAAGTGACAATTTATTTGAATTAATACATATTCTGTTCTGTTCTATTTCCTCTTCATTTAATTACCTCCAGGGAAGTCTTTAATCTGTTCAAGGCAAAGAACTCAACCAGAAAGACTGATTTTTATTTGTGTTTACTTGAAATTTATTTTGAGTCTGTCGATCAAATCATTGTCGATTGGGCTTAAATTAGATTTTTTTACCAACACTGGCATAAGGTTCTATGGCAATACTAGATACTGTCTTTCCGCAGCAATTAAAAAGTTATTTGAGAGAGAGATGTCTTACATTTTCAGTTTTAAAAGTGTGTCTTCGTTCCTCAGTTGTCTCCTTACTTCGAAATTCATCCACAGATTTAGGCTGCTTTAAAAACATTAATTATTAGAACAATTACAACCAGTTTCTTAATAAGAAGACAATGAGAACAAGAAGCATACCTAAAATCACATTAACAAGCATGCATCCATCCAACACAGTCAAGATGCAAGTGACACGTGGACCAGCATACATACCATAAATGATTGCAAAACATCACTGGAAACCTTCAGGCTGCTTACTGTCTCTACATGTTGTAAGAAAACCTTTTTGGTCTTTAACGCCTTTACTGCAAAATGATAAATGCATTAGATAGACAATGATTCATGCACCCCATACAAATTTATATACCTTCTGCTCATAAATGAACCATGAAATTTACTAGAAATGGAAAGTTAATATCTTCATAATCCATATTTTAGTAAATTATGCCACAAGCCCCTGAACTTTTCATTATTAAGACCTTAAATTAAATTTCCGTTCAATTAAGTCCTCTAACTTTGCAAATTGGTTTAATGTAACCCTTCTGTTACATTCTCTCCACTTTTGACCATTAAATACATTATATGGAAGCTAACAAAAGAATAAATTGATAAAATTAATTACAAATTCATTTTGTTTATATAAAAACAAAACAAACACAACAAAAATCATAGAACCAGCACCCTTTCTATCACTACCATAGGTTTATCAGGCCGTTTAATAAAAAAAAAAATATGTTAGAAAAAAATGTTTCAAGTTAATTTAATCAATTTATCCTTTAGATTGGTCCTATATCATATAATAAATTGACAGAATGTAACAAAAGAGATAAATTGAGCCAAGTTGGAAAGTTAGAGGGCTTATTTTGAAGAAAAAATTAGTTTAGGGACCTAATTAAAAAAGGGTGTAAAACTTAAGGACTTCTAGTATAATTTAGAGTTAATTACACTAAGACCCAATCAACTATTAGCAAATATCACTTTACCCCCTCGTCTATGAATCCGTACATTGACTCCATCAATTATGAAAATCACACAAATACCCCTCTTTTGGAGATGGTTTGAAAGGGGTCTGCAAGGCATGAAAGTGATACATTTTTATAATTGAAGGAGTCAAAATGTACAAATTCACAGATGAGGGAGTACAATGATATTCTTTAATAGTTGAGAAGGTCTTGGTGTAAATAAGACTATAAAATTTACTCTCCATATTTTGAAGCGTATGGAGCAAATAAAGTAATTCAGCATAGCATTTGTTAGCACATTCATTAAGGTTGTGTTTGGATATTTCACCCAACTTTTCCCTTTCACTTTCGAAATCCATGATCTAAACGCAACCAAGAACATTCTATATTAGGCCCAAATTCATGCATGGGGGATGAAATTCTCTCCATTACATAATTCAATGGCTGATATTTCCTTAATTTGAATTGATAATAAGATAACATAACTACTTGGCAACAATCTAACAATGAAGCTACTGGTGCGTATACACACTATTCCCACATATATATACATGCACAGGGAGACAAAGCAGACCCCAATACATTGCAAATGGAATTATCTACACGTATTTATACAATGTGTGGGTGTGTATAGAGAGAGAAGCTGAACGTACCTTTTCCAGAAGAATCAGAAATTGAGAGCTTCTGAGAGTCTAGAAATGGCCTCTTCAATGACCTCTCGTTGATTTTTCAAGCCCTACGAAACACACGGTTCACAATAATCAAGAACGAATTTCGAGATCAGAATGAAACAATGAGTTCAAAAAAATTATAAAAAAAGAAAACGAATAGAAATCCTAATAAACTCACAGAAAGCTTCGAGGTGAGACTGGTAAGCTTTGCGTTTGACCCTGACGATCACTGGCTTGTCGTTCTTAGAAGGAAACCAAGAGGTTGCTGCTATATCAGCCATTGACGAAGAAGAATAAATTAGGGTTAGGGTTTACGTCTGGTTCAGTTCAATCGAAATGCAGTCTCGTCCTCGTGGAGGAAGAACAACAGCCGTCGCGTACGGGTGTCTCTGTTTACACACCGGGTGCCTCTACTCACAACCCACGCACACCATTAATTATTTTTTATTATAATATTCACCACAAAAGACAAAGGAATATAATATATACTTTATATAAAATTATCACAAAAATAATAATGAATATAATACACATTTCTCTCTTCTTTTTTTAAGATACATCGGAAAGTTAACAAAAATACACTAGGGCTAAGCCCTCTCCTTAGCTCTGCCAATGATGTCTGCTACTAATAGACTCCTAACTTCTGTTGGTGGTTCATTAACCACCAATATATCTTTTGGTTGCTACGTTCTAAGCTTTGCTAGTGCATCTACACATATGTTTATTTCCTTGTAGATATGTTGCCCAGGACATTCACATCCACGCATAATGATCTTAGCATCTTCTATTAAGCCTCTGTATGGGGAGTTGATGTCTGTCTCCTCTATTAAAAGTGTAACAGCTTGCATGGCATCAGTTTCAATAATCACTTTATTCATACCCTTTTGAAACAGCACTATTAAGCCTTTGTATATCGCCCATAACTTATTTTCAAGACTGGTCCTGTGTGAGTAATTTTCCGATCACACTGCCCGACTCAATATTCAACTGGAGAACACTGGCAGAATAGATGACACCTAGCTAACCTGTAACAGAAAGAGAAGATTCCAGCGGTGGTTCGTCCACCTGGGGACACTCCGACTATCAAGTCAGTATATCTCTCAAAGATAAATCAATAGTACTTAACTCACTAAACAAATATAAATTGCGTACCTTAGACCCATGGGGGTGCCTCTCTTTTATAATCACCTCAATCCTAATGCCAATAAAAGCCTAACTTTTATGAATTCCTGTTCAGTACTTACTTTGGACTCCTCAAGAGATAAAGATAAACTCTCTAAGAGCTTTATCTTTATCTTGGCTAAGTCTCTTCTTTATTCTAGGACTCTTGTCTCTTATCTCTTATCCCGGAATCTGATATCTTCGCACCGAGGTAATCTCGGCGTCATATCCTGGACACGTGGCACCTCGGCTGACACATCAGTGTCACCTTAGCCACGTACTGGGACTTAGAAAATATGTCCCACCAACTCCCTAAGTTCTATTACCTTGGCATTCTGAGGTGATGGAACCTATGTCATTCCTTTCTTCCAGTACGTCGGTTTACAGTATCTTAGCCAGATCATCATGTTGGCCGACATGTCTTTGTTAAAGAACAAGAACTCGAATGAACTCCTTTATGCGTATGAGCTGTCAAACATCACTTTTCAACCGTTTCATTCACGCGTTTTATCCTTATTGGATCGTACTCCCGACGCGCTTATTAGTCGTTTCGTGCTTACATGCGCCGCCTGACGCATTTCGCCGTTCCAGGCGCATTAATTATCCTTTTTTGCCGCCGTTTCAAGTTTTTGACAAAACTTGTTTCCTTCTTCTTCCATTTCTTCACTTTTACATCGATTCCTTTGATTTTTTCTCTCTCTAGCACTTGAATACGCCATTGTTCCAGACCTCAAGCTCTGTAACTGCCTTCTTTCCTCCTTCTGATGAAGCTTCCGTCGTTTTGTTACTTCTGTAACCAGTGTCTGACTTCGGCGATCCTTACACCGATTTCTTCTCTTTGGTGAGTTTACGGTTCCTTTCGTTTTCAATTCTTTGATGCTTTCTGTTACTTGCTGCCATTACTGCATTTGTTCAAACTTTTAACTTGTGAATCATATATCTGAATGTGTTTTTTCCACGATTTTGCCCTTACCCATATCTTGAACACACGCACTGTTTCAACACTTCCCTGTATTTTTGCCACGGTTC